GTTTAGGGTTTAGGGTTTAGGGTTTAGGGTTTGCGTGCAGGTGGTGGCTGGGACTCTCTTCCGCGGCGGGCGGTGTCTTGGGTGTTGGGTTTCGGATACAGGTTTAGGGATTAGGGTTTAGGGTTTAGGGTTTAGGGTTTAGGGTTTGCGGCGTTTGGGGAGGGTTTAGCGCGGGGTGTGGCGGGCGAGCACTGGGGTGTATGTACACCTGGGCGCTGCTGCGGAGCCGCAGCGGGTCGAGCAGTTCTTTTGAAAGATCTTTTTTGCAATTTGCGAAAACTGGAAAACCTTTTCGAACTTTTAATTCGAAACTCCGAAAAAGCCCGCGAGTTTTGCTGCTGCTGCTGCTGGAAAGCTGCTGCAGTCGGCGCTCAGCGCGAGCCCCGCGGTGTACGTACACCTCAGCAGCGGTCGCCCATCGCCGCGCGCTCGGCCGCCGTTCGCCGGATTTTCGCCGGTTTTGCGCGCGATTAAGCGGCTTAATTGGAAATAAAGTCCATTTGGAGTCTCTTTTGCGAAGAAAAGGGGAGAAAAAGCAGCGCGGAGGGCTGCAGCAGCAGCAGCAGCAGCAGATTCGACGGCGCTGCCGCTCAGCCGCGAGCCCACACGCCCCAGCCTCCTCCGCTGCCGTGTCTGCTCTTCAAATGATTAAAATTAATTAAATAAAAGTTATTTTAATTTATTTCTCTCCTTGGAACGCCCTCTGCCGCCCCTGCTGTCTGTACTCCCGAAACCCAGCCGCCCTCCTTCGTCCGCGGCCGCAGCACAGCAGCAGCAGCAGCAGCAGCAGCAGCAGCAGCAGCAGCAGCAGCAGCGGCTCTGCTGCTGCGCCTTTTCGCCCTTGCTGCTCAGTCAATCTTCAAAAGCCATTACCAACCCCTTGCTGCAGAGCCGTGTCTGTACAGACCCGCTGCCACACACTGGGGCCGAGGGTTTAGGGTTTAGGGTTTAGGGTTGTTTAGGGTTTAGGGCTTGGGCTCTCTTCTGCTGCTCGGAGGCCTTCCCTCGCCGCTCCAGCTGGCAGCAGCAGCTGCTGCTGCAGCAGCAGCTGCAGCTGCTGCTGCTGCTGCGCAGCAGCAGCAGCAGCGGCGCCCCAACCTTAAACCCCAAACCCTAAACCCTAAACCCTCTCGGGGCCCACCCCCGCATGTCCACCCTATCCCCCTCCTCCCTCCCACCACCCGCGGGGGCCCCCTCTCCCCTATCCCCCTCCCTGGGGGCCCCCCTGGGGGCCCCCCTGGGGGCCCCCCTGGGTCCTTCCCTCCCCGGGGCCCCGCTGGTCCCCCCGCTGGCTCCCCCCCTGGGGGCCCCCCTGGGGGCCCTCCTGGGGTCCCCCCTCCCCGGGGGCCCCCTGGGGGCCCCCCTGGGGGCCCCCCTCCCCGGGGGGCCCCCCGGGGCCCCCCTGGGGGCCCCCCTGGGGGCCCCCCTGGGGGCCCCCCTGGGGGCCCCCCTGGGGTGCAGCGCGAGCGGGGCCCCCGGGGACTTCAAGTGGCTGGTGGGTGTGGGGGCGGCTGCGAGTTTGGCGACGGCGTTTGGGATTGGGGCGAATGATGTGGCGAACACTTTTAGCTGCGCTGTGGGGTCTGGGGCTTTGAGTCTTGCTGCTGCTGTTGCTGCTGCTGCTGCTCTCGAAACCCTGGGTGCTGCGCTGCTGGGAGCGGCGGTTGCGGACTCCATTCGCTCCAAGATCATCGGTAAACCCTTTTTTAGGGTTTGGGGTTTGGACGGGGAGAGAGGGGCGTTTTTTGGCGGTGAAACGAGCTCTGGGGGCGGTTTTGGGGTTTTGCGGCTAGGGTTTAGGGTTTAGGGTTTGGGGTTTGGGGTTTGGGGCTTGCGGGCAGACTTGGGGAGTTTCAACGAGGGTTCGAGGGGTTGCCGGCGCTTTTTCAGGGTTTAGTGTTCAGGGTCTAGGGTTTAGGGTTTAGGGTTTAGGGTTTAGGGTTTAGGGTTTAGGGGCAGACTTGGGGCGTTTGAACGATGGTCTGAGGGGTTGCGGGGGCTTTTTCAGGGTCCAGGGTTCAGGGTTCAGGGTTCAGGGTTAAGGGTTTAGGGTTTAGGGTTTAGGGTTTAGGGTTTAGGGTTTAGGGTTTAGGGTTTAGGGTTTGCTGCAGACTTCGGGGCCTTCGAGTTGGAGCCTTCTTTGCTGATGTTGGGGATGGTTTGCGCGCTGCTGGGGGCTGGCCTGTGGCTGCTGCTGGCCTCCAAGTTGGGGCTTCCAGTTTCGACAACGCATGCAATAATAGGCTCTCTTTTAGGGTTTGGGGTTTCGTCTGGCAAACCCTCGGCGGTTCGCTGGCAGCAACTTGCTGCGCTGCTGCTCGCCGGGCTGCTCGCGCCGTTTGCTGCTGCTGCTGCTGCTGCTGCGCTCTTTGCTGCTCTCCGCGCGCTCGTGCTGCGCTCCAAACAGCCCCTCAAAAGGGCCACCAGGCAGGGTTTAGGGTTTAGGGTTTAGGGTTTAGGGTTTAGGGTTTGGGGTTTGGGGGCGGGGGGTGCCCCCTCC